AAATATATACACAGTACATGTAGTATATATATTTGATCATATAACTTCAATTGAACCAGTCTATGGTCAAGAACAGTACTTAATAGTTATATTTCCGCAACATTTTGGAAGCCACTATGACTATATTTACTTTACAGATTCAAATGATTAAAACAAATCAACTAATTAATGGTGATTCATTATTATGGATATAGCTACCCGACAGTAGATTAGTTTCACTTATAAGAATAATCATTAAAGTGGTGTACACATAAACACAACAATAATTATGATTAGAACGATTATATATAATATTCTTAATTGAGCATTCTGCATAATGAGTACCTTTAAAGTTTGTACTTTGTTTAATGAGTTTCTGAATGCAGGACTTTTACTTGGATTTGCAAACTGCGAGATTGCTAATTCGCTCAAGTGATTGCACCATATGGCTCTTGTACAAGATATACTGTTTATTCAAATAGGTCCAAATTGATCTAATTGTGATGTTTGAACGAGTGTTTTTAGCAGGCGGTTTCTCGCTCAAACTATTTATCCAGCATTTAGCAGCCACAACTAAAGCAACGAGTACATAACAGAGTAGGTTACTGCAGAGATGACGATGGATCGGCTGTTTGTTTAGTGGTTGTGTAGGTGGAGGAATGTGGATTAAAAGTCGATATCGAGAATCAAGATTTTCGTTTTTAAGATCTTGGAAAAGGGATCATGAAAGTGTTCAAGATAGATTTATCAGCCAGCGTGAAAATACCAGTTAAGTATAGCTGCTGTCAGATGTTAAAAGTTCCTGCTGCTTTCTTACACACACAAACACAATAACACACACACACACACACACACACACACACACACACACACAAACACACTAAACACAGTCTCTCTGCCTCCCACACACACACCAACACACTGACGACCCCCCAACCCGCCCGTCAGAGGAAGCTTGTTTCCTTTCAATGAGCTGCAAATTAGACTGACCCTTCCTACACCCCACAACCCACGGTGACACACACACACACACACAGAGACACACACACACACACACACGCACATTTCTAGCATGCTCTCTGGCCTCTCTCTCTATCCGTCTTGGCTCACTCGCTCTCTTTCTTTTCACTTTGCCTCCTCTCTTTAGAGGCCCTGTCATGCCCTGACACACAGAATGGGCATCAGTCAGACCACACACACATACACACATGCAGACACACACACATACTCACACACTCATACACATACATGCAGCAGACAGACATGGGAAATTAGGGGGAGAGGGTCATTAGCTGCACAAAGGAGGCAGAGAAAGCATGAGAATGGTTAAAGCAGCAGCTGATGGATGGAGATGGAGGATGTGCTGAGTGGACTGACAGATGACCAGATGGAGGTTTCTGTGGAGGAGTGGGAGAATGTGGAGATATCTGGATGCATATTTGCAAGGATGGAGAAAAAAAAATCTGAATTTGAGGCTTGTGATTTCCGTTTAATTATTATCTATTATGTAAATGTGTGAGAGGATGCTGCACCTGTTGCACGATGATGTAAGATTCACAACATTTCTTTCTTCCTGCCAAACCAATATATATTAGCAACCACATAGCAACCAATGCTTATGTGACTTGGTTAAAGGGGCCCGGTTATGCTAATTTTCAAGGCTCATTTTCAAGGATGTTGTGCCTCAACAGTGATATTTATTTTTTTTAAAGTTTTTTTAAAGTTTTTAAAGTTTTTATTTTTCTCATACTGCCTGTGCTGCAGCACCTCTTTTCACCCTCTGTCTGAAACCAGAGCCCAGTCTGCTCTGATTGGTTAGCTGGCGGTCTCTGTTGTGATTGGTCAACCGCTTAGAGATGTCCCGCCCCTTAGCCTATCACGTACAATGTGTTGGAGCGCTAGCCAATAGGAGCGCGAGTGTTTCATATGGACATTACTATGTAGGAAGTAAACAAGTGGAGAGTGTGACGGAGAGAAACTCCCTCGGCAGGGAAAACAGGGATTTGTATGGATGTACAGACAACTATTACTGGGTAACTTCGATACTGAAAAAACTAGACAAGTTCTGCAGTGATAAACAGCATATTTTTCAACGATTTCTGAGCTGATCCAGCGATGTGTTTCCCTGGCAGATAATGGATATTGGAGATAATGATATCCTCCTGAAGAGTAAGTCAAAACAAATGTAAAAGTATGAGCTTCATATGCAGTAGTGTCTCTTTAAGGGTTTAAAAGTTTCTCAAACGCCTCCATGAGCTGCAGCTCTCACTGTTATGAGTGCATAAACATTATTACCCAGAGTTCTCCTCTGTTTCTCAGGGCTGTAGTTTGTGCAGCAGCAGTGATCCTGCCTATTAGAGTTAACTCTGTGTGTGTGCGTGTGTGTGTGTGTGTGTGTGTGCGTGTGTGTGTGTGTGTGTGTGCGTGTGTGTGTGTGTGTGTGTGTGTGTGTGTGTGTGTGTGTGTGTGTGTGTGTGTGTGTGAACTTTTACTCTCCAAAGTTGCCAACAAGCGGCTTTAACTTGAAAAGCCGACATCAGCTGCGGCTCCAAATCAGCTGTTACTAAGCAACAGCCCACAGGCTCTCCACTGTACAGCTACTGTAGCTAAAACAGGAACATGTGTGTGTGTGTGTCTGTGTGTGTGTGTGTGTGTGTGTGTGTGTGTGTGTGTGTGTGTGTGTGTGTGTGTGTGTGTGTGTGTGTGTGATCAGGGGGCCGCCAACATCAGCGCAAAGACAAGAGCGAGAGAGAGAGAGCAGGGGATGTATGTTGTAACCATGGCAACAACGATGGTGTGTGAGTGTTAAAATAAATTCATAGTGATTGTTAATTAACAACTCAGGCAACGCTCATCACAGCAGCAGCTCACACACTGTTAAACACTGATGGAAACACACAAACACACACACACACACACACACACACACTTAAATAAGTGAGACTTGTTAAGTGCCATATTTGATCAATACGAGGTGGAAAACTTTCTTTCCCGCTGCTCAAAAAATTATCTTGAATTCCATTTCCCTCCAACTTATCGTCCTCCTTCCTCTCCTTCAGTTACTCCTCTCTTATCTCATCTTTTTTAACTTCTCCTCTTCACTTCCCTTATCTTCTTATCTTTAATGTAATGGGTTTTCTTTAGCCTCTTCTCCTCTCTTATCATCCCCTTCTCAGGAGTTGTAAATTAGAATTTTGCAACGAATACTGAACACAGTGTATCCGGTCATTGTGGATGAATATGTTACAAATACTGATGCTCCTGTAATGTTGATATTAAAACAATGAATACAACTAAACATGAATGCCAACATGCTTGCAATTTGATTCGTTTTTACAGTAATTTTTCATGCAATAATGTCAGAAAATGTAGAAAGTAGCCTCTCAAATGTCCTGTTCTGTGTTGTATCATATTTACAATAGAACGAAAGCATGTTATTCTATAAAGCCCACAGATGATAACACGAAGTAAAGGCGATTTTACAAGATGCCCTCACGATGGCCTTACGAACGGCAAAATTCAACACGAAAATGAACCTTCTCAAGGTCCTTCGGCAATTTGTTGGCATGCCAAAGATTTTACCACCGCTCACGAAGTTGCTGCCGGAGCCTGAGAAACTCCACCGGCGGTCATACGATGGCTTAAAGGAGAGGTGTCATGCTTTTCCGGTTATTACCCGTCCCCTTGTGTGTTATGAAGGTTTTTATGCATGTAAACGGTGTGCAGAGTCAAAACCCTCAAAATACACCCTGTTGCGAGTAAAACTCTAACACAGAAAATACCTCCCCAAAACGCCTCGTTGGAGATACGTCATTGTCCATTTGATTCTTCCGGGACGGCATGATGTCAAGCCGTACCCGGAACGAAATGGACCAATCCGTGAAGCCGTTACGTTACGTCCGCGGAGCCGTTACGTTAAGCCCCCGCTGATTGGTCCAAATTGACCAATCCACGGACTTCCTCACACACACATCTGTGTGCAGGGAGCAGGCAGCTCAGCTGATTTCTCCTCCCTGGCTGCAGGCTGATAACAGACAGTTGGGATCGCGGCAAAATTCTCTCTGCAGACCCATTCTCACAGCGTTTATCAACCTTTTTCTTAATCAATATCAAGCCACACTTATTGTTTTTACTTCGGATGTGAGTTTGTGTGTGCTCAGGATGAGTTTGGCTGTGTCTCGCTATATATAAACGAGGAAACCACACCTGCACGGAGCTCAGCGCGATTCACAACGTCCCGACCAATCAGAGCACACTGTGCTCACAGGGAGGGTGGGGGCTGGAGCTTTGGGAGCTACAACGAGCCGTTAAAGGCAGAGAGTGAAATTCAGTGAATACACGTAGTTTACAGAGATGCTGTATGAGAAACCAATGTGAGTTTGGAAAAATGCACAATATAAATCTATTTGAGTAGACCTCAACAATGGAATTATGATCAGTAGAAATGGCCATGACACCTCTCCTTTAAGATGCCCTCACGAATGGCCCGGTGTTGTTACGATCAGAGCCGAATTTGAACATTTCCTTTATCGTGTTGTTTTATTGCACAACAAAATCATGTAAACATATTATGTAAATAACCCAATTTGTGTTCTGTGAAACTGAAAAGGATATAATGGGCGAGTTGACAGGAAGTTGCTGTTGCTATGGAAACAACATTACGGATAAAACTTAATATCTTCTACATATAAAGACGGAGAAAGTAAAGAACAAAGTCTGAAAATATCAGTACAGTATCATAGTACTTTAACATAATTGTTTTTGTTACTTTCGCTGCAGTTGTATGTCTTAAATGTAATGTAAAGGTTGCCTTCGTGTGTGGTGCGGGGCCATCTTCGTGCGAAATTCACAATTCCATATTCGTGTGTCCATCCGGTGTCAATTTCAGGACAGTGTGACGCGGGCTTAACAGTTTGGAGGAGACTCATGCAAACTTCTTTTGAATCATTTAAAAATCAAGTTATTGTTTTTCACAAGAAATATGAATTTTATAAACGCCTATCACTCAAAAAAGTGAACTCTGTGAGTTGTTGAATCTAATGAATGCATCTTTACCCAATTTAATTGATATATCTGAGTTTGCTGTTTAAACCTAGTTGATTTAAGTAGGGTTTTCTTAAAATGGATACCTGTTGAAGCCACATATGCTGCTCAATTATCTCCAACGCAACACAGCTGTGTAAATTGCCTGTGGCGCATGCGCAGAGGCTCACATGAGGGATATGATTGTGACGTGGGCTTTTTCGCGGTGAGGAAGGACAGGAGAAGCTGAAGAAGCAATGGCAGAGACCTGAGCGACATCCAAATGAATATGAGTGAGTATGTTTTTCCTATGCAACATTTTAAGTTGGTTTATAAACATGCGGTTAGAATGTGAAATTGAGAGTGTTGTAACTCGCAGAAATATCTGCAATATTTTTGCATATGGCAGCTAAGGTTGGCTAGCTGGAAAGCTAACTAACTAACTTAATGCTAGCCAGCAGGAATATATCACAGTAGCAACCAAACAGTTTTAAATTGAATTATAAATTACTGACTTGTGTGTTGTGAAATGTTAATTTAATATTGTGAAAGTGGCGCGAAGATGGCTGTTGGTCGGGTTTAGGGATATGTGTTTGACTGTCAGTGAGCAGGACCGGCTATTAACCGGCGGCAACTGAGATGCCTGTGGCGGGGGAAGACAGAAGCTTGCAGATAAAGAACAGACTGTGTGATAGCACTAATGTTACAGTGTGAGAGCTAGCTTGCTAACGTAAACCAGCTACGTTAGTGGTTGGGCGAGCGAGAGTGAGAGGGAGCGGGGCTCAGTGATGCAAATTAGTGCTTTTCGGCGCCTCCCGCTTTTTTAACGCTGATTTGGGTGACTTGTGTAATTCGTGGAGAACCGAAGAGTTTTCGTTTTTGGGGGGGGGGTTTGGAGTCCGTCAACAACTTCGTACTTAAAAAAAGAAGAAATCTAGACCGCAAAATAATTAAACAAGCGAGTGCCTGTTTTTCCTGACCAAGGACAGGTTCCTTGAACACAACACGAGCGTAACGTGTCTTCACGTGGTATATGTCTGAAAGGAGTGCTGACGGAGAGCACCGGAAAGCCGCTCCAGCTCTTCAAATATTGCAGTACCCATAAGGAGCCGTACACATGCCGCAGTGTTTGCGTGGCTGTGTCTTTAGTTGTAATCACAGTGGCGATCTGTTGTTATTAGCATCTGGTTAGCTAGCTATGCTAACGAATTTAAAGAGCTTCTCTACAACCAGGTGGAAGAGAGCTCTCTCCTGAGAGGCTCAAATAACCTCAGCTCAGTGAGGTTAAGGCACACCTTGATATGATCATTATAGTTATTAATGAGACATTAGAGACTAAATGAAAAACAGGTATAAAATACTATATGACAGTAACAAAAAAGTTGTTAAAAATAACAAGAATATAGTTTAAAAGGGGAGTGATTTGTAAAATATCCAAAATGAAAAATCTTGATTTATAACTTAACATCTCTGTCTCCTATTGATCTGAGTATATTATAAAGAATAGCCAGTTCATTGAAGCATTATAGCACAGGCCTTTGTCAGATGGTATATTACGCTGTTTTTTCTCTGCTTCGAATAGTTCTCTCTTTTTTTCACCATACCTGTGTTTGCATCACTGATCTATACTCTGTCATTTTTTGTTTAATATTTTTGTTTGTTTCATTTTCAGTTACATGTGGAAGTGTAAAGACTGTGGTGCAGAGGAAACCTCAAGATTTCAGCTATTGAAGCACTACAGGTTAATACATGGCCACTTTGGCCGCAGACAACCTTATCCATGCACATATTCTAAATGCCCATGCACATTTAAAACGTGGAATGCCCTTCGAAGTCATCTATCCAGATCACATTTTGATCAAACGTCACAAAAATCTGTAAATGTAACAACATTTACCTGCCATCATTGTTCTTGTAGTGGCATTGTCTCATTGAGAGAGTTTTTCGTTCATGTTAACAACCATCTCAAAAGACACGAAACCATCTGTTGTGTGTTTGAAAGTTGTTCCTTTTCAACAAATATTTACGGAACATATCAATCACACAAGAACAGAAAGCACAAGACGCATACACTGAACAATTTCAAAGCTGGAATTGTGGAAAATGGAAGGGCAGATTCATTGAGTTGTACTTTGGGAGATACATGCTTGACAGAGAGTGATGAGATACTTCACGATGATGAGCTTGAGGTTGGTGCATTGGTCCAAACGTCAGAGAACTTGCATAAAGTTATAGAACAGAAACTGGCATTTGTTTTATTAAAACTTGAAAACTGTTTCCATGTACCAGGCTCTGCCATTGATGAGCTGCTAAACGAGTTGCACTATTTGATTAGTTCTTCTCTGGTGCCAGTATCCAACAACATTCTAGCTGATTTCTTCAGTAACCATAACTTGCAAGTTGACCAATTGCTCATTAATGAGTTAGGCTGTACACTTTGTACGTCCAACCCTCTGTCAAAAGCTTTACAAAAGGAAGGACCTTTAGCCACTGCTTTTAAGAGGAAGCAATACTACAAGGATCATTTCAATATTGTTGATCCAGTTCAGTACATACTTGATGCAAAGACTAAAAGAAGTTTTCAGTATGTCCCTTTGCTAAAGGTTTTACATCAGCTACTTCATCAAAATGATGTGCTTAGCAAGGTTGTTGAAAAGAGAAGAGAACAACAGGTAGTGAATGACCACCTTCATTATAAATCTTTTGAAGATGGCCAGTACTTCAAGAACAATGATTTTCTGGCAGGGGGGGAACTGAGAATCTCCATCTGTCTATACGTAGATGACTTTGAAGTCTGCAACCCACTCGGTACTTCACGTAAAACACACAAACTCTGTGCTGTCTATTGGATTTTGGGAAATTTGCCTCCTGGCAGCCATTCCTCTTTGACCTCAATATACCTGGCTCTTTTATGTAGAAGTGATGACGTGAAGACCTTTGGCTATTGCAAAGTATTTGAACCATTACTCCAAGACCTTGTTACATTGGAGCGGCAGGGTGTTTTTGTCTCACAACTGGGTACATTTGTGAAAGGGACACTTCAGTGTGTAGTGTCAGACAACCTTGCAGCACATGGAATAGCCGGATTTGTGGAAAGTTTCTCGGGCCCATATGCTTGTAGGTTTTGTACAGCTCAGCGAGCAGAAACTCAGGTTAAAGAAGTGAAATCGGGTGCATTTACCCCAAGAAACAAGGAGCTTCATCAAGTCCATATTGATACTGCACAGGCAAAAGGAGGTAGCTTTTTTGGTGTAAAAAAAGCGTGTATTTTCACAGAAAGACTTGCCCATTTCAGTGTCACATCAGGGTATCCTCCTGATGTTGTCCATGATCTTTTTGAGGGCATAGTCCCAGTAGAGCTTGCACTGTGCCTTGGTGTGCTTATTTCCAAAAAGTTTGTTACGCTTGAAAACCTCAATAAGAGCATCAAAAACTTTCCATACAAGTGGGGGGACAAAAAAAACCGACCTCATTTGGTCCCAGTTAATTTTGTCCGAAACAAAAGAATTGGTGGCAACGCGCACGAAAATTGGTGTTTATTGAGGTTATTGCCGTTTATGATTGGGCAGTTGATCCCTGAAGACGAACCAGCTTGGAAAGTGATTCTAGACTTGAAACATATTGTAGAGCTTGTTGTTGCACCTATCCACTGTGAGGAGTCTGTGGCATATTTAGAGTTTAAAATCTCAGAGCACAGACAGAGATACCAAGAAGTATTTCCAGATCAGCGACTCTTGCCAAAACATCACTTTTTGGAGCATTACCCAGAAATGATTAAGCTGTTCGGCCCCATTGTGATGTTTTGGACTATGCGTTTTGAGGCCAAGCACAGTTATTTCAAACAGGTTGTAAGACACACAAAGTGTTTCAAGAACATTACACTGTCTCTGGCAAATAAGCACTAGCTGATGATTGGCTATCACATGCACACAAGGAGTAATGAGAGGTCAGCCTTTGACGTGTCAAACGTCTCAACAATTCCATTAGATATCATGAAAGAAGACATAGCACTTCAACTAAGTCAGAAATACACTAACCTCACAACAGTCACGCTAGCACACATTGTCTCTAGCAATGGCATTGAATTTAGAATTGGAATGCTTCTTGTGCATGGATCAGTAGGTGGACTGCCTGAATTTGCAGAAATACTTCAAATGTGTATATTGAAAAACACATTGATCTTTATATGCAGAAAATTGTCTTCATGGTACAGGGAGCACTACGGAGCATTTGAGCTCCAGTCATCTTCAGCCAGAGAGATTGTGTTGGCAGAGTTAAGTGAACTGACCGACAACTATCCCCTGAGTGACTACAAGTGTGGAACCCTCCGAATGGTCACCCTTAAAAGATACATACACATGTCAGGTAATTATCCTTTAATTTTTATTTGACTTTGACTGAATGTCTTCATGGGAATGTGGGTAAAATAAGACACAGAATATCAATTAAAAACATCTGGGGTTTGGAGTCAGAAACAAGTGAGGTTAGGTTAACAGAAATAATAAAACACAACTCTACAAGGATGCTGGCGTACCCTAACTAAATCTATGCATGCTAGTTAATCAAGTCAAGTTGCATTTTGTAACATTTGCAATATAAATTTGAAACTGCCGACAATTCAAATCGGTCTGCAGTTTAATTGAACTACCAAAAATGATAATGCTGCCTTAATGTTTACTATGGCTTTATAACTACACATGTGCAAGAGTCATTCAAATATAAATATTTACACAACACATAATTAAATATGTTACTAAAGTTTAAAGAATACTTCCATCACACTAACCCAGTGCTTTCAATGCCTATGATACCTCCACTGATGATGACTGGATCTGCCTCGAATTGTATTACCTACTGTTTAAAAAATATATATCTTCTTCTGTCTTTTCTTTAGAGTAACCTGTTGACAAGTATGGCCACTTCTGCAGTGCTTTGCATCATCCTAGGAGAAAATGACTCTGCAAAAGTAACCCTGCCTTTGGGAATACCAAGCTCTGTTGAGGAACTTCAAAGTGAGATTAAGAGACAATGTGAGGTGTTTGGAGACTTTAGACTGCAATACAAGGACCTTGATTTTGATGAGTTTATAAACCTTACCTCCACCTCAGACATTCAAAACAAGGGGAAAATCAAAGTAATTTACCCCCCAAGTGCCTTATCTACAAGCAGTCCTGGCTTCTCTGCACGGACATCCAGCCAGGATGAGATCAATTCAATCTCATCTGTGGACACTGATCTTCCCTTATCTTCTGATTCTTCGTCAACATCATCCCTCAGAAGTGAGCCATGGCCAAACGCCTTTCCTGTGCCGGAGTTTGTCTATGATGTCGAGATCCAACTCCAGCGTGCCAATAGTGACTTTCAAAGTAATGGTACCCTCTTCAGTCCTAATCCAAGAATGAAGTCAGATATTCTTGAAACTTTGGCATCACAGATTGTGAAATATAAAGCATATCCCTCAAGTGCTGAATTTGATTCGGTAGCTGAAGCACTTGTGAAAAAGCACCCATGTTTAAGGGAGCAAGGCTCTGTTACTGGCTTTTATGGTTGGAAGATCAGTTTAAAATTCAAGATGGGAAACTACCGCACTAAGCTGCGCAACATTGGATGTTCAGAGCTGACTGTCAATTCTTTAAAGCGTCAACAGGATGATCAACGCACATCTCGCAATCAAGTGAAGAAACCTAAAAGAGCGGAGGTAAACTACTATCCAACAGGACAAACCAAACGGAGCCTAGAGGAAGAGAGGCTGGCACTACTGTCCGAGGTACATAAGAACAATAACCAACAGGTGGTGAAGGATAAAATGGAGAGGACATTTGCCTATAGGCGTCATGAGGTGATTGAAGACAAGCCATTCATTGCCGAATTCAAAAGAAGGTGGCCGGCTCTCTTTTCTGAGCGTGAGGTCAGTCATATATTTTGTTGATAACTTAATTATATTTTGCAAGGGGGTTCAATTTAAAGAAGCATTTTACCAATGTACATGTGATGCAGTTTGCCAGAAAACATTAGGGCAAATGCGTCAAGACTGGCCACATACACTTATTATGTTTGTCATTGGAACCTGACTACAGAATCATACTAAGAAATTAACCTAACTTTCATGTTAAATGATAGCTTTGAGAAAAATAATTATTCTATATTTTCATTCTTACAATGCTTTGACAAAAAAATCATCAGGAAGTAAAAAGAAAAATGTCATGGCTGAATTATTCCATTAACTTTTACTGTGGTGCTGCAGCCAACAAGAAAATGTGTTGATTTGATTTATGTGTTTGTCTTTATTAAATGTTTGTAGGTGGAAGCAGAGTTTGCTCGCATCACCACTGTCCCACTGAGATCTAAGTTCATGCAGCAGCTAGATCATCACTCCTCCAAGCTGTTAAGGATTTTCCAGAAAAAAGGTGGTGCCGCTGGGCAGAAAATAAGGAATATCATGGCAGAATACGACAAGGTGTGTTATCTAACAAATGCCTGGTTATTAGAAATATTTGTTTTGTTTAAATTAATTTTATTGTATTTATTGTGCAGTTGTATTACTTAAGCATGCAGTAAAATATTTGAGACGTGTGGCTGATGGAAGACATTTTAAGTCATGTTCCCACAAAGTTTAAAATGTACTTGATCAAGTCATTTTCAAAATGAAAATGAATAAATTAATTGTATTTTCATCTAAAGAGATTTGCATATTTGTGTACCTTTTCTGTGGAATGTAGTAATACATAGTGTTTCATGAATGCAAATTCGCAGAAGTTTGGCTTTTTTGAATTGCAATAATTTGATTTACTGTGCTGCATATGATGGTAGTGAAAAAATGCTTATACTGAAACATATTTCTAAGATGATCATAATGCTTAGTTCCCAGTTAAATAAATACAGTGTCTTGGATTATAACATAAATACTTTTAAAGTACAACTCACTACCTAGTAATAACCAAACACTTGCATTACAGGTGCTTCTTGTGGTATTATAACTTGTACTCCAGTTGAATGCACATTCGTCCCCCTTCATAATAAAATGCACTTAGACACTGCCTGTAAATGTAAAAAATTGTATGAAGTTGCATGTAAAAAAGAACAGGATAGTTTGCTTGTGCATTAATGCATCTAGTGTTAAATGCTGCACAATGTAAAAATACTATTCTCCCACTTATGCATTTCCTTTGTTACAGAATGACGCCATCGAGACAAGGAGAGCCTGCGTTATAAAAGCACTAATTGTGTACCTTAATGAAGACCCCGAAAGCCTGATTAGAGAGTACCTCGTAAGTATTTGTGCCTCTGCTTTCCACATTATTACCCTCTGGAAACAAAAAAAGTGATTTATTTCGTACTTTTTTGAGCTGGTTTTAAACAAACTAATGGCACCACAGGTTTGAAAGAGCAATCAGAAAATAACCCATATGCATGCATAGTACAATTCCCTTTTCAAACTATCAACAGCAGTTTGTAGACCGTTGCTTGAATGTATAATTCATAAATGGAACTGTTGAGTTTCTCAAATTTTAAAGTTTTGTAAAACCATTTTCATATCCATGGTTAACTAAATACCCACAAGCCCCTAGCAGATACCGTCAACAACTAGAAAAGCTACACCCAATGTAGCTTGTAGGTATGCTTATCTGGGAGCTCTATATATGTTACTTAGCAAGAGTGTTGCTTTTTTCCCGTGTGTGTGTGTGTAAGTCTGGCTGATGGTCTATTTTTTCTGCCTTTTAGGATGTTGAGACTGACCAGAGTGTAGATCAGATGGTCTTGGGAATCTTCGCCATAAAGAAGGAAGGTGCAGAGCCAACGGATTCCCTCGCAGATGTGGGGATTGTAATTGAAGGTGTGGAAGTGCTGAACGATCTTCAAAACATTGCGAACGCACTGGCAATTTTATTTGGACTCACATATGCATTGGACTTGAGCTATCCAAAAAACCTGAGATGCACGTTTGAGGTTCTTCAAAAGATCCTGATGGAAATGGATGTTCGCCACCTGTCGTCAAAGGCTCAAGTGCTGAAAAACAAACTGTTTGAATGAACTACTTGAACACTACAAGTGGAACGCCTTGAAACGGCACGTTGGATATCTTGGAGCAGGGGTTTTATCCAAATATTTCGGAGGGAATTTTATCTATGGAATGTTACTGAATAGGAATGTTACAAATGATTAATGTCGTACAGTTTATACGTACAAGTTGCAGTTTGGGCTATGTGGTTAAAACATGGTGCTCTTTTGAAAATTGTTGTTGCTAGCTAAATGTTGTGCAACTTTTTCTATTAAGGTGATAGCAAACTAATTATGTATATTTACCAGGTCAATAATATACTACCGTATCCAGCTAAGAGCAACATTAGCCTGGAAATGTCTGTTCTGACAAGTGTGTTTCCAATATTTACTCATCCTTTAGCTCTGTTTTGGTCTCAATACTGTTGAAGGTTATCTCGCTCCTCGGCTGCTGGATGTTTAGTTTTCCTCTCCAGCTGGTCGCTAACTTTGGGGGCCAGGTGCTTCGTCGCCTGCTTAATGATAAACGTGGAGGGAATTGAGAGTCGATCAGAGCTGGCTTGCTGAATTTTTTTGGATTTAGACAGAATTAAGAATTAGACAACACCAAACAGAAAATATGCTATAAAACCAAAACAATAATCTAGAAAACTATTGTTCCGGTTTTCATTATCTCCATAGCAACAGTTGATGACAAGAGACATTTATAAACGTTTTACACATTTTGTAGTTTACTTTTCTATTTATGTGACGACTTACATGCAATGTTTAGTTTCAGTTTGGGCTATGTGGTTAAAACATGGTGCTCTTTTGAACATTTTTGTTGCTAGCTAAATGTTGTGCAACTTCAACCTTTTGTTTGTTGATAAGGTGTGATACAAAGAAGTCTTTATGGGTTTCCATGATTTTAAACTTGGTAAACCTGGTTGCCTATGTGGTTATATCGCGTTTCATGTGAAATAAATGTATTTTTTTCACTGAACCTTAAGTCAGTTAATTTGAATTTACTTAACTACACTTCGTGGAATTTGTTGACATAGTCTGGTTTAGTAAGTGAACTTAAAATGACTTCCATTATAGCAATGAATACCAGTTAAGTAACACGGAATGCAGTAGTTTCCAAAATGATTTAAGTTTGAACTACAAATTAAAGTTAAGTTGATCTTACTAAATACAGTTGAGTATAGCAGTTCTTACTTTTAAGTAACATGAATATAGGTGAGTTAAGTTAGCATTATATAATATCTTTATGTTGGCATTAATCAAAAAAATCAAGTATGTCTAAAGAAACTGCACTGTGTTGACTTAATATTGCTCAGTTAAGTTAGCTGGACACAGAGCTATTAATTAAATCCAGGGTGACCGGGTATTGTTGAAGTTAATTAACACGGTCGCGTTGGCTCAACATAAGTCAGTTATATTCTTCTTACTAGTAATATTTAATTATAATCTACTCAACTCAGTTTCGTGGAATTTGTTGACATAACTTTATTAAGTAAGTCCAAGAAATTATTTTTTTGAGTGTAGCTTGGGAGGAAAGTTATGCTTATAAATAAATAAATACAAATCAACTAGTTTAGTCAGTTAGGTAAATTAAATATGAACCACTTCTTTAACACAGTACTATTTGCATAATGATTGCATTGTTATTTTGCTCTTTATTACTTCTACCTGTTATTATTTCTATATTTAGTTTCACCTTTATCAACGTACCTTTACATATTTCTTTCTTTGTGCTGTTGCAACACATGGTTTCCCCTCGGGGATCAATACATTTATTATCTTATCTAGAATGACCAAAAGAGGACACTGACATTGTTAATATTCTCTTCTCTCGTCCTCTATCATTTCCTGTCCTTCTCCTTTCTCTTTTTCCTCCAGCTCTTTTTATATCTCCTCTCTCCTCCATCACCTCCTTCTCTCTGTTCCTCTCCTCCTCACTCGGAGGTCAGAGGGTGACAGGAAGCGCCCATCACGCTGCGCCTCGATTCAGACGTCTTTTCTCTTCATCACCTCCGATGGCAGGGTGTGTGTCACCGTGACATTGTTGAGTGACAGGTCGTATCTGACGGCTATCAGGACTCCAAACACACACACACACACACACACACACACACACACACACACACACACACACACACACACACACACACACACACACACACAAATATTCTCACTGTGTCCTTGTCACACATTATGGATTCAAAGGCATCAAAACAAAATGGATGTGGACATCTCTTTAAAACAAGGACAACTGAATATTCCTAAAATACACACACACACACACACACACACACACACACACACACACACACACACACACACACACACACACACACACACACACACAGTAGATAAGATAAATCTAGCTGCTCCCGTGTCAACACTCACTCAGTGCCGTCAGAGCTCAGACATTCAGTCTCTGCCAGTTTTACAGGAGAAACAAAGATGAACAAACAAAGACGGTAAAGATCTCCATAAAAGAGGAAACTCATTAGTGCTGGAATCTGTTTTCAATCACTTTTGCCTTCTGGATAGTCGATTACTGCCAAGCTAAACTCACGCAGTCTGGATTATTTCAGTTATAATGAATCAGATGCGTTCGAGAAATTGTCCGCCTCATATCAGCATGTATTCATCCTCCAGCTATTGTAAGCCTGAATGAATACGATGTAATGTTTGCGTTATATAATTAAAGTCCTGTTATAAATACTGTCTGTATTCATTATGATATCCGGTCCAGCCATTAAACCAAACAGCACCCAGAATGTCCCATTGTTTCAGGGACATCTGATCATTACAACAGGCCTTTAAAGAGACTAGCTTTTTTTGGTTTTCCCTTCCTGTAGTCAAAGTCAACTTTAATGTCAATCTTCCAGTTTGTGTGTACAGACAGAGAGATCGAAATACTGTTTCCCACAATCCCGAATATATAAACAAATGTATATAGAATATAAAATGTAAAAATATGTGTGCAAATATGTATGTATATACACAGTCAAAGACACATTTTTACATGTGCACACATTAAGACCTAAATTAAAACACAACAATTAATAAATACTAAATAACAGTCACTTCAATATTTTGAGAATGTACATTAGTGCAGATTGTTTGAATGTGTGTAATAAAGGTTTGTGTGTATATGAATGGCCTGCAAAGGCTTAAATCCCTGTGTTCCCAGGGAGCTTCTCTCCTGACAACAGATGAAAATGCTGTCATGTGACCAATACAAATATTGTACTCTGATCACAATGAGTCACTTCTTGGGTGCATCAGAAAGCTTTCTGATGAAAATAAAGAGCCTTAAAGACAGATTGAGACTCGTTTCTGTCCAGATGTTGAAAAGGTGTAACTTAATCTGTTCCTCCACGACACAAACCTAATCTTCCGTTCCCCCGACTGTGACTCCAGCGGTAAAGCAGGCAGTGAAAAAGCGTCTCCAGATTTGAACACATGCGATGCTACAGCAGGAGCAGCAGGCTGTTAATCTGATCTCTGCTCAGTTTAACCACATAATGATCCGTGTGTGGGAGAGAGTCAATGACAGTGTGAAGAGGAGGTGTATGTGAGGCCAAAGCCTTCAGGATAATGTTTGTAATTATGTTGTGCGACTCATATTTGAACAGATGTTTCAAAAGGAGGAGAAGATCAGTGGAGTCTGGAGTTCTGGCTTTTAAGGTTCAAGGTTACTTTATTGTCTGGGTAGAAAATCGTCTATGATTAAGGGACTTTTCTGTATTAAAACCAAACCAATCACAGGAAGGATTAGCTAATGCTGCTTTCCATTTACATTGGAAGTTGGAACTGGGAGTGACGTCTCATCCGAGTTCACTGCGATCCAGTAGCCAATAAACGGTTGATAACTACGCTTTATTTTGTATTTTGTGAATACAAACATCGTAGCAACATCTCCACAGATAGATGATGAGCACCACCATATGTACAGTTCATTTAATGTGACACAAAATACAGAAGAGCTACAAATGTTATATTATCAAAGTGTTCTCTTAATGCTCATATGCGGAGACTTCATTTTAAATAGGAACTCCTACCTCAGTGGTTAAAAATCCAGTTACATTTCCAACTGGGAACTCAGATATTCCCACTTCCCAATACAACTGGAACGCACCACTTATTATACAGCGCTACATACTAAATAAACCAACGACTAGACTCACAATATTAATTTTATAATGATCGTTTTGCTTCTGCTAAAACAAAAAAGGTCAGTTCTACTGAGTAACAACAGCTGGAACTTTACCACATGTTTCCAACACACAACCTCACATCTAACTTGCATGCCACATGTTATCTCAATCTCAATCTCAATCTTTATTTATTTATATAGCACATTTAAAACAACCTTCAGTTGACCAAAGTGCTGTACAGGCAATAAATATTAAATAACACAATGGGAGTACAATAATAAAACAATAATTAAAAACATGATAAAAACCACAATAACTAGAAAAATATTTTAAAAAACACATACAAATGTAAAAATGTAATGTTCAACTAGTATTAAAAGCCAGTGCAAAGAGGTGAGTTTTTAGCTGAGATTTAAAAAGTTCAATAGACTCAGCAGTCCGGATATGTACTGGGAGGCTGTTCCACAGTCTGGGAGCTGCAACACTGAAAGCCCTGTCCCCTCGGGTTATTTTCCTGCACCGAGGAACCACCAACATATTTTGCTGAGCTGATCGCAATGCTCTAGCTGGAGCATGGGGGTGCAACAACTCAGACAGGTAATGTGGTGCCAGTCCATGCAATGATTTAAAAACAACAAGTAAGTACTTGAACTGGATCCTGTAACTGACAGGAAGCCAATGAAGGTCTGCCAAAACGGGTGTGATGTGGTCATAACGTCTCTTCCCAGTAAGAAGGCGTGCAGCCGCATTTTGGACCAGCTGCAGGCGACGGATCAAACACTTATTAACACCAATATACAGGGAGTTACAATAGTCTAAACGAGACGTTATAAATAGGTGGATTAGCTGTTCAAATTCCTTACTAGGAAGATAGGCCTTTACCTTCCCCAGAAGCCGCAGCTGGAAGAAGCTTGTCTTGACAACTGAGCTTATTTGTTTGTCGAATTTAAAACAGTTGTCAAAGATTACTCCAAGATTTCTGACAGAGGGACGGCTGTAGGAGGCTAAGGGGCCGAGTACACTATTAAAGCCATCCAGGAGTTCAGACTGTCCAAATATTATAATCTCTGTCTTGTTTTCGTTGAGAGTCAAGAAGTTGATTTCCATCCATGATTTTATGTCTTTCAGACAGCTAAGCAAGGCAATCCTAGATTCCTTATTTGCTTTTATAGGCAGGTATACCTGCAGATCATCTGCAAAGCAATGGTAAGATATGTTATGCTTTTTAAAAATTGACCCCAGAGGTAGTAAATACAGACTGAACAAAATGGGGCCTAGGATAGAACCTTGAGGGACCCCATATGCTAGTGGGGCTGCAGCTGAAGAATACTGGCCAAGATGCACAGAAAAGGTCCTTTCTGACAGATAGGATTGAAACCATTTTAGGACATTACCTTTAATTCCAACACACAGTTCAAGGCGTGATAAAAGGATTTGGTGGTCAATGGTGTCAAAAGCAGCAGACAAATCTAAAAGCACAAGCACAGCAGAATTCCCAGAATCAGCAGTTAAAAGAAGATCATTCAAAACTCTTAGGAGAGCAGTTTCTGTACTGTGGCGTGATTTAAAACCAGACTGAAACTTTTCTGATATGCAGTTTAAAACAAGGTGCGACTGCAGTTGCGCTAACACCACTTTCTCTAGGACTTTAGACAGGAAGGGCAGCTTAGAAATAGGTCTAAAGTTGGAGAGAACAGAATGATCAAGGTTCTGTTTTTTGATAAGAGGCTGCACTACAGCGTGTTTAAAAAAGGTTGGAACGCAGCCTGAGGTGAGAGAGATATTTATCAAAGTTAAAATATATGACCCAATTGTAGTAAAAACGTCTTTCAGTAGTCTCGGAGAAATACTGTCTAAGGGGTATTGTGAAGGTTTCAATTTTCTAACCACATCAGATAACTCGGGCAGTGAAACCAGGTCAAATTGCTCGAAGACAGCTGAGCACACAGGAGACACTGCTGGGTCTAAGGTGAGAGTTATCCTCCTGTAGGCGGAAAACTGTGGTTGAAAACATGTTTCTGCGCCTACCGAACCATAACATATAAAAATGAAGGGATGCTGATGCTATTTTGTGCGTATAAAACAACAAGTCCTCCAACTCATACGACCAAATAGGTCGATTGTTCAAGCCCTTAATACGACCTATAATCACGTTTTAAAGTTTTCGACCTCGAGTGCTCCCGTTGATTGCAAACGCTCCGGAGGGTTGTATATTCACAAATAACCCTCTCTGTAAAATCCTAAATTGTAGGATAGTTTGGCCATTAAAATGCTTTTTGATTAGATTTCTAGCGATAAGTGTATATTGTACTTTTAGAATCCACGTCCAGTGGATGTGTAGGATCTATA